ATGGCGACCGCGGAAGCGAGCGGCAGCGACGGGAAAGGGCCAGGGGTGGAGACCCCCGTCACCTACTACCGTCTGGAGGAGGTGGCGAAGCGCAACACCCCGAAGGAGATATGGCTGGTGATCCACGGGCGGGTCTACGATATCTCCCGCTTCCTTAACGAGGTGGGGCCCGGGCGGTGGTGGTGGTGGATCCCCTGGAGCCGCTGGGGTAAAGGGGTGCCCGGGCCAGGACAGGCTGCAAGGGGTGCAGGGGTGCATGTCGGAGGGACATGAAGTCTGCCTGAGGGCGATAAAGCCTTTGAAAGGGGCCACCACCCTCTGAGGGTGCGGGGTGGGGGTAGGGATTGGGATTAAATATGCACCCATTTCCGGTCACTAAATTCTAGTGCCTTAAGTGACATCTTGCATTGCGTATCGTGTGTCGTGCACTGTGTGCTAGGTTAAAAGTCAGTCATTATGCTCCCCATTCTACAGAAAGAACTACTGAGTCTCAGACTGAGGACTCGAAAGGCCACCCACTTAGCCTAGAGCCATATTTAAGGACCTGATTTTGACCGGCACCAAATCTCTGCTCTCTTTACCCCGACTTCTGAAGTAATACTTTTTTTAATTTTTCATTTTTTTTTTGATAAGCTGAGATTTATCCCTTTCTCCATTTGCTGCGCTCATTTTTGATAACTTGAGCTCACCTTGAGGCCAGAGGGTGCTGAGTTGACCTTTTCTTTGGCTATTGACTTAGGCTCTGTCATCCTCTTAAATTGTCAAGGTGTTCTGTTAGCTGTTACACAAGTCCTCTGAGGTCAGGGTTCAACTGAGTGATTGTTGTTGTTTTTTCCCTCCCCCCCCCCCCCCCCCCTTTCAACTTAACGGAACAGGAGAGGTTTGTTTGTTTAAACTAAGTTAATTGGGCTGTAATCTGCACTCAATGAAGTGTGCCCACGTAAAAGGTAAGTTTTGACAATGTATTCACCCATGTAATCACAACCTCAATTGCAGCATTTTCGCTACTCTCTAAAGAGTTTCCTTTTGCTCTTTTGCAGCTGTCATTCCCCAGGCCCCCAATCCCTGAGGCTTTGATAATACATTTTTAAAAATTAAATTATCTGTGTACATATCTTACCATTGAATACAGATATTTTGTTATATATTGTTTTGCATCATTTTATTTTGAGCAATAGATGGATTTCCAAGGAATTCTTGCACAATGTAACCTTATCGTAACTGAGCATAAAGTTCCTTTCTATTAGTTCTTTCTCTGAAGCAAATGTGCAAATAACTTTTTCTTTTTCTAAATGTGGGGCCTAGGGAGGACAATCTCTACATCCTGGTTCATAAATCTATAAAAACATTTAAAATGTACAATTTCCCCCCAAAGGACATTGTTATAAATCTTCCTACTGACCAATAAGTTAACAAAAAGTTTAGTAACTTCTTGCATTTATATGGTGTATGGCATTTTGTGCTTTCAAAGGTACTTTCCCATGATTTCATCCTCAAAGTAACTAGCTGAGTGTGGTTTGGATAGATCTTGTCTAGATGGGTTTATTCAAATTCAGATTTTTCTTGTCTACATGGTATTCAGAATTCTAGCCTTAGCTATGTCCTTTGGTGTACGCCTCATAATAAGTTTCAGTTGTGGGATGCAACATATTAAAGCATAGTTCACAATGGGTAGGTAATGTTTTTCATTTGTAGTTTTATTTTCCCCAAGTTTCTGAGGAATAGTCAGTGCTTATAGGGAACTTTAATTCAGTCTTGAGTAGTGGTTGCTAACATGATTGACTACATGCTGATGGAGCCAGAGACATCCCACATATGCCAAAGCTTTGCTTAAAACATGAGCTGCAGATCTTTACCTGCAGTTAGCCATTTTACTTTCCCCTTCTGTAGTCTCTACCCTTGTTTTCTTGTTCATCCCAAGCCTATGCATCCATTCACTTACTGTTCACATACTTACCAAGTGTGTGCTGTGTGCCAGGTATTGTTCTAAGTGCTGAAGGTACAGCAGTGGATAATTACACACATGCCTTCATGGAGGTTATAATCTATGGAAAGTGGACAATACTCAGAGGAAGTAACTAAAACACATGCTCTGTCAGGTAGTGGTAAGTGCTAAGAAGAAAAATGAAGCAGAGAAGAGGAGTGTGGGTGTATGTTGGGGTGAGGGGGTGAGGATGATGGGCTGAGATTTCAGATAAGCTGGCTAGAGAGGGCTTTAGTCAGAAGATGACTCAAGGCCAGCAGAAGTTATGGGAGCTAGCCATGTGGAAATCTGCAGGAAGAGCATTCCTGGCAAGAGGGAGCAAGGTCAAAGGCCGTGAAGTAAGAATATGCGTTCAGTGTTTGAGGGGCAGTGTGGCAGGCTGTAGTGGATGGAGAGCAATAGATGTCATCAGGATCAGGGGATAGCAGATCAAGTTCTAAAACAAACTTTGCAGGTTTTAGAAAGGATTTTTTTTTAAAAAAATATATATTTTTATTGATTTTGTACAGAGAGGAAGGAGAGAGATAGAGAGTTAGAAACATCGATGAGAGAGAGTCATCGATCAGCTGCCTCTTGCACACCCCCCACTGGGGATATGCCCGCAACCAAGGTACATGCCCTTGACCAGAATCGAACCCGGGACCCCTGAGTCCCCAAGCTGACGCTCTATCCATTGAGCCAAACCGGTCTCGGCTAGAAAGGATTTTGACTTTTGTTTTGAGAAGGGAAGCCACAGTGGAGCAGAGGAGTGACACGATGTGACTTAATGGTTGAATGGTGTCACTCTTCCTGCGCTGTTGAAAAGAGACTGAAGGAGGGCACAGGTGAAATTGAGGATCCCAGCTTATTAAAGAGGCTGGACAAGAGATGGTGGCTTGGTCCGGGATGGTGAGACGTGTCAGATTTTGGATGTGTGATGATGGTAGAGCCAGTAGGATTTAATGACACATTGGACTTAAGGAGTGAGAGAAAAGAGTCAAAGATGACACCAAAGAATTTGGCCTGAAGGTCTGGGAGAATAGGGTTTCTATTAGATGAGATGGGGAGGACTTAGGGTATTAGGTCTGTTTTATTTTATTCTTTTCTCAAATATATTTTTATTGATTTGAGAGAGGAAGGGAGAGGGAGAGGGAGAGATAGAAACATCAATGATGAGAGAGAATCATTGATTGGCTGCCTCCTGCACACCCGCTCTTGGGGCTCTAGCCCACAACTTGGTCATGTGCCCTTGGCCGGGTTCGAACCTAGGACCCTTCAGTCCACAGGTCTATGTTTTATGCACTGAGCCAAGCCAGCTAGGGTGGTATTAGGTCTGTTTTATAGCCAACTGCTTTCACATTTTCCATATAATTTGGAAGGATTGGGAATGGGATGTAGGGAAATCCGAGCCAGGTACCTTTCTTCCGGAGCTTAGGTTGATTTTTAAAATTTTTGAATTAAGTCATACAAATATACAGCGAAAAGCCTTCCCATCTGCCTAAAGTTAACTACTATTGTTTGTTTTCTCCAGGTTTTTGTCTTGTATTTGTAAGCAAAAGTTTTATTTTTTAAAACAGAAGGTAGTGTACCATACACACTGGTCTGTGCCTTGCTTGTTTGCTTAACTGTTCCTATCAGGAATCTTTCCACATCGATCCCTGGAACACTTCTTACTTTTCACAGGATTTGTTGTCTGGGTTGTCATTTATTTAAGCAGTCTCCTATTGAGAAACATTTAGGTTGTTAGTAATATTTTACTATCTACCCCCCCAAGTGAAGTCTGTTGCGAGCCAATGCACATATAATAAAATGTACAGATTTTTACATATAAAGTTCACTGAATTTTGACAAAAATCTCATCTGTGTAATAATTATCACAATTAGTATATAGAACATTTGTAGAACTTTTGCCCTCTTACAGCCATTGATTTGATTTAAAATACTTGAAAATTGCCGAAACCGGTTTGGCTCAATGGATAGAGCGTCGGCTTGGGGACTGAAGGGTCCCGGGTTCGATTCCGGTCAAGGGCATGTACCTTGGTTGCTGGCACATCCCCGGTAGGGGGTGTGCAAGAGGCAGCTGATCGATGACTCTCTCTCATCGATGTTTCTGACTCTCTATCTCTCTCCCTTTCTCTCTGTACAAAATCAATAAAATATATTTAAAAAATAAAATAAAATACTCGAAAACTATGCACTCTTTTGCATCTAGTGTCTTCTGCTTAGTAGATCTGTGAGATTCATCTCTGTTTTAGTCTATGTACCAGCAATTTGTCCCTATTAATTTTTATTTTGCATGATATTCTAAAACTTGTTTATCTGTTAGCCTGTTGATTAACATGTGAGTTGTTTTCATTTTTTGGCTATTATGGATAAAGCTGCTATGAACTTTCATGTACAAATCTTTATGTGGACGTAAGTTTTCATCCCTCTTGGGTAAATGTCTAGGAGTGAGATTGCAGGGTCATGTTTTGTTTTAACTCTTTAAGCTATTTCAGGAACTTTCCCCAAAGTGGCTACATTCCCACCAGCAGTGCATGAGTTTTCTAGTTTCTCACATCATTGACACAGGGTATTTGTCACTTTACTTTTAGCCATTGTAGTGATTTTCATGGGTGTGTGCTGGCATGTAATTGCGGTTTTAACTTGCATTTCACTGATGACTAATGTTAAGTATCGTTAAGGGCTGATTGGCCATTTGTATAAGGTGCCTGTTCAGTCTTGCCCGTTTTTTAATTAGGTTGTTTGTTTTCTCGTTATTGACTTGAAAGTGTTTTTTATATATCTAGATGCAAGTTCTTTGAGTATATGTATTACGAATATATTCTTCCAGTCTAAATATTCTATTTAGCCTTTTCATTTTCTTAACAGTGTCTTTTGAAGAGAATTTTGGTGAATTGCATATATGAAATGGAATGCTAACAGCTGGGTGCTGGCTTTGGGGTTTGTGTCTGGTTCTGTTTCCCACTTAACCACTTAGTAGTTGTGTCACTTTGTGCAAATGAGCTCTGTGAAGGCCTCTCCCACCTGTAAACTGGAGATAATAGTATCTGCTCCACAGGGTTGTTGTTGGGACAGTTAATTTAGATAATGCATAGAAAGACTTATCATGGTACCTGGTATAAAGAGCTCAGTGATGTTAGTGGTTATTTTTATTATTAATAAAGTACATTTTCCTGCAGCATCTTTTGAGTGCTTA